CACACAGCACCCAGCAATGCTACGCTTACACTTCCACACAGCACCCAGCAATGCTACGCTCACACTTCCCACACAGCACCCAGCAATGCTACGCTTAGCTCTGTAGCCAAGAGGAATGGAAACATGCTCACACAAACACGTGTACGTGAACGTTTAGGGCAGTTTGATTCATAACGGCCAAAAACTAGAAGCAATCCAAATGTCCATCAACTGGTAACAGATACAGCGGCACAGCCATACAACAGAATGCTATGCAGGGGGAGAAAACAAGCACGCGTGAATCTCAAATGCATTATGCTAAGTGAAAGAAAGCAGACGCAAAAGGCGACACCCTGTATGGTTTCATTTATATGACATTCTGGAAAAGGCAAATGATAGGTACAGAAAAACGACAGATCACTGGTTGCTAGGGGCTGGGGACAGGCAAAGAAATTAACTACAAAGGGGCACAGAGAATTTTTTGAGGTGATGAAAATGTTCTATATCGTGATTGTGATTGTGGTAGTAGTTAACACTACTGTATGCATTTGGCAAAATCCATAGAACTATACACTAAAAAAGGTAAACTATATTGTATGTTAATTATACCTCCGTTTTTTAAAAAAGCCAAGATACTTAATATGAAACTTGACTACTGTCACTATATTTTATTCTAGGGAAGCCCAAGTCAAGACGTTTAATTGGTGATATTTTCATAATATTCTTCTTTTCTGAGTATTAATGGTAGTATATAGCCAGCCTTGGTGGTCTAGTGGCTAAGATTTGGCGCTCTCACCGCCATGGCCTGGGTTCGTTTCCCAGTCAGGGAACCACACCACCTGTCTGTCGGTTGTCATACTGTGGCAGCTGTGTGTTGCTGTGATGCAGAAAGCTATGCCACCAGTACTTCAAATACCAGCAGGGTCACCAATGGGACACATGTTTCAGCGGAGCTTCCAGACTAAGACAGACTAGGAAGAAGGACCTGGCCGCCCACTTCTGGAAAAACTGGTTATGAAAACCCTAAGAACAAGAGCAGAGCATTGTCTGATACAGCGCTGGAAGATGAGAGGACGGCACAAAACGTTGGGGCAGGGTTCCTCCCTGCTGTACACGGGGTCGCTAGGAGTCTGAATCGACTTGATGGCACTAACAACAATGGTATTATATAGCCATCTATAACAAACTGAGGAAAGTGGAAATACTGATATGGAAGATCCTTAAACTAATAAAAATCATCACTTTATTCAGTTAAGATATATGCTTAATATTAAATAAAAGGTCTAGAATATTAATAGAAGATCTATCAATTAGAAAGTTCCAGCATCACACATAAAGAATTCATTCTCTCTTCCAAAATCTACTCTATGATCTCTTTTCTTTGATGAGGCACATCTCCGAGGTATGAGATAGTCTGAAAGCACAGATTAAACCTTAGACAAGGGAACTGAATGACATACATGTGAAGTGCTTTTGATCGTCCTTCCAAGCTCATTTCTCCCCCAGCCCAGAGGTAACGCCTATCTTGACTATTATGCATATCCTTCCAGTTTTTTTTTTCCCCTGGGAAAGAGTCACCGTGAGCTAACATCTGTTGCCAATCTTCCTCTCTTTTTTTTTCCCCACCCCAAAGCCCCAGTACATAGTTGTATATTCTAGTTATAGGTCCTTCTAGTTCTTCTGTGTGAGCCGCCACCACAGCAAGGCCACTGACAGACAGGCGGTGTGGTTCCATGCCTCAGAACTGAACTTGGGCCACCCAAGCAGAGCGTGCCGAACTTGAACTGGAACTTTAACCACTAGGCCACGGGGGCTGGCTCTACTTTCTTCATAAGAAGTAAAATGTAACAGATAAAGTACATTTCTCTTTAACTGCACCCCCTCTCCCCCTCAATACCATTTGTCTTCCTGCCATCCCTAGAGTAAGTTTGGAGTTTACCTTCTTAATCCTTTAAATACCATGCTTTTACATACCTTTGTATATGTCCCTAACCAACACATAGTAGCAATATTCTGAGGCTATATCTCCAACGTTTTATATTTCTTAATAAAGAATATACACATTAAATCTGAATGTGTGTGGGGCCGGCCCCGTGGCTTAGTGGTTAAGTGCGCGCGCTCTGCTACTGGCGGCCCGGGTTCGGATCCCGGGTGCGCACCAACACACCGCTTGTCCAGCCATGCTGAGGCCGCATCCCACATACAGCAACTAGAAGGATGTGCAGCTATGACATAGAACTATCTACTGGGGCTTTGGGGGAAAAATAAATAAATAAATAAAAAATTAAAAAAAAAATCTGAATGTGTGTATATTTTTAAAGCATATACAGGGCCGGCTCCGTGGCTTAGCGGTTAAGTGCGCGCGCTCTGATGCTGGCGGCCCGGGTTCGGATCCCGGGAGCGCCCCGAGGCACCACTTCTCCGTCCAACGTGAGGCCGAGTCCCACGTACAGCAACTAGAAGGATGTGAACCTATGACATACAACTATCTACTGGGGCTTTGGGGGGAAAAAACTGAATAAATAAAAAATCTTTAAAGCATATACAAAGGAAAAGACTGGCAGCAAACAGGAGAAAATACAAACAACTGTTTATTCTCAGTATCAGGAATTACAGAGGATTTTTCAAAGTATGCAGCCATTTAAGTGCTTATTTAGTTATTTTTTTGTCCCCTATAATACAGTAAGCGTCATGAGAACTTGTTCAAGCTATGGAAAGAGCCCATGTCATTTTTATGTCCCAGTCACTCAGATGACACTGTTCACCAATGGAATTACATTTCCAGGCTAAACACTTCCTGAGAATTGGGGGAGGGGGAGAAGCAGATTTTGTCTCAGGCGATTAATGTCTTACCCGCTATGAGGACAGATGCTGTATACTTATATTTGTTGAATTCCAAATACTCCCGAATTAATTCATTAATTAGGAGGTTTTCGTGTGACAATGGTGGTGGAGGTTCACTTTCATCATCTAGGGCGTTGAAAACTTCAGCTCGAATCCTTGCTCTTACATGCCCTAATACTCCTCTTTTTTCCAAGGTGTCCTTTAAGACTGTTAAATATAAAACATTACTGCTTCAATTATAGAAAAAATTTTGTCCTTCTTAGCCATACTTTGAAGAAAAATGTTTAAAAGGTAAAGGGCATAACAGCAGCTTTCAATCTAAACATTGTGACGAACTGAACAGTTATCCCATTAGGTACCACAAACCATGTTTGTAATAAAAAATTAAGTTCCCAAGTTGCAATGATTTACTATTCTAATACACTTAAGCAAATTCAAGTTCATCCTCCCAATATTGTCAGCGTCAGAGGCTAAAGTCTGATACACATTCTTTAGTGAGGAAAAAAAGGGGATAGAATTATAGCTAGCATCCCGGGACCTGAACTTAACCCCCAGTGTCTCACATATTTTCAAGAGTGTTTATTACTGCAGACAGGTTGTGTGTGTCACTAAAAATCTCCGGTCTAGAAAGAAGATGATTAAAGATAACAAGTACACTCCATAAAAGGAAGGAATGTGCTGTCTTTTGTATAAAAACCTTTGATATCCAGAACCCTCGGGGAATGGCCCATTCTGAACGAAAGGGTGGGTTTTTGTTTTTTGGGTTTTGTTTGTTTTTTAAAGACAATTATGGGCCGGCTCCGTGGCTTAGCGGTTAAGTGCGCGCGCTCTGATGCTGGCGGCCCCGGTTCGGATCCCGGGCGCGCCCCGAGGCACCACTTCTCCGTCCAACGCGAGGCCGAGTCCCACGTACAGCAACTAGAAGGATGTGAACCTATGACATGCAACTATCTACTGGGGCTTTGGGGGGAAAAAAATGAATAAATAAAATCTTTAAAGACAATTATGAGTTAATTCCTTAAAACAGCAGGATTTTTAAATTTTGAGCCTAGTCAGAAATCGCATACATGACTGTATCATCACCATCTTAAATAATCAGGAATATATATGCTGAACGTAACCTAACTTCTTCTTGATGAGCAAGGGGCACTATTACAAGTATCAGGAATTGTGATAATGAGATTCAGCTATAAATACTAGTATGGTCACTGAGGGACACAGGGCTGAACTGGCACCATCCCTCGCAGGGGTCTGGAACCTTCTTTTTTCAAATTGTCCCTCGTGGCTAAATAACAACTCCAGAGAATCAACACATCTCACCCAGTGCCTAGAATATAGTAAGAGCTCAATAAAGGCTACCTAGGAACATTATAATACAGTGCAGTATACTAGTGATGTAATAAATATTGTTTAATACTGTACCGTGCCCTGCCAAAGACATCAAATAAGTACACCACAATAATGAAAACTCATAAAGGGGGCCCAGGGAGCTTTTATCCATGTAGGCATAAAAGTTTCAAACAACAAAAACAACCTGGGTCGTATGATTAAAGAGATACAGTCTAGACTAGACTTGAACCTTTCTTGCCCCTTATTTTTAAATCATCCCCTCAACATTTCTGCAGGTATGTAAGTACAGTTATCACCCAATCCGACTTTGTAACAGGCCCATAAAAGGAAGGTACAGCCTTATCACATTCTTGGGATCATAACTGAACCCCTGTTCTCTAAGTCCATCTTTGGAAATTAGATGGAGAGATATTTTTCACTGGCGAGAATCCTGTCCCAATTACTCTGTATTTGCACACAGCACAGCCTCAAACTCAGCGGAGAAATGAGAATTAAAGGAGCCGGAGTTAGGAAACCTAGCAGATCTCCTCAGCACCTCAGTGGTAGAGCGCCAACCCAGGCCTCAGGTGCCTTCCCTCAGAGGGAGAACCAAGCGAGGTGGAAAAATGTGAAAGTGCTTATAAAAGGTAAAAGCCCATAAAACTTAAGATAATTGATGGGCAAACATTTACACCGGTTTCTCTTGGAACACAAAGCATAGTCAGAACTGGGAAATGCAGAGAAATCACAGAGGGCTCCCTACATCTGCGTAGGATACTTCTAATCCCCAGAGAATTCTGCCTTCTTTTGGGGTTCCATATCATTTTGTCCTTCCCTCTATTAGCATGCTTAAAACCTGGTACCACAACAACTTCTTCAGAAAGAGGTTCTTAACCTGCTTTATATCCCAAAGTGACTTTAAATCCTCCGAAGTTGCATGCAATACTATGTGTGATAGGTATTTCCTGGGGAGAGGCTTCGCCATTCACTGAAGCCTGCTCTTGTGGATGAAGGCATGCCTCTCCTATGACTGGTCACCAGCCCAGTGCTGCAAATACACACTTATATGGATGCTCACTGAATCATATTCTCAAGGAGATTCAACCCCTCCCCGCCAAATCTCTACGAATTACTGATTTCCACCCCAAGTTCCCTGAAAACGGGAACCGGTTTTATTCCTCGGACAGCAGTCCCACCCAGGGATGAAGACTGGAGCTCTGGGGCAGCCTGCCTAGGTTCTCACTGCCTTTTTCTGGCTAAATTACTTCGGGCGAGCTAGTTCGCCTCTCAGCACCTCAGTTTCCTAATCTATGAAATGGGCACATTTGTTGTATGGAATCAATCAGATTGCACGGGGGCTGGGCAGCGCATGACACATGAGGCTCAATCACTGAGACCTGTAATTCCTATCACTTGTCTGGACAGCTGAGTTAAAACGAACAGTGCACAAGTGTCACAGGCTTAAGGACTTGCACCCATGTGGAACCTTCCCGAAAAAGACAGGAGAATGGCCAGGCAACTTTCGACCTCCCAGTTTTTCCCGAGGGAAAATCGGGACCCACCTCGCAGGCTGTTGTAAGGAACCAAGCACATCGCTTAGGATTGTGCCCAACACCAGTGATGGCTGTGGGTACTGTCATCAGCCCTAAAGCCTCGCCCCCCAGCGGCGGGATCCAGAGGAACGCTCCAGAGCCCCCAGGTGGAGGGCTGCAGACCCTCAGGCACCCGCAGACCCTGCGGCCCGGCTCCAGCTCCAAGCCGGTGCAGAAACCGCCCCCGTGCAACTTCCTCTCCTCTCCTCTCTGGACCCAGACGGACGGCCCGCAGGCCCTGACGCCGAACGACCCCGGAAAGGCGGACTCCGGTGTTCCGCACGGCCTCCTACGTCCCACGCTTTTCACAGGCCGCAGGCCACACGCATTTCAGCCGGCCAGCCTCCCCGCTCGCACTCACCAGCCTTCAGCTCGGTGACAGTCGCCATTTTTCAACCGCCACCAAGAGGCTGCCTCGGCTGTGCGCACGCGCAGCTCCGCCCCACCCCGAGGTCTGTAGCCAATAGGCGCACCGCTCTCGCCGCGCCCAGTCCCGCCCCTCTCGGTGTACGCTCTCCGCGGTTGGGTGGGAGGTGCCTGTCTAGAGAGGCTCCACCAATCAGCGAGCGCTCTAGGCGGGCCCTGCTAAGGGAGGAGGGAGGAGGAGCCCGGAGAGAGGCAGGTGCAAGCCCCAACGTGTGGATGCTGCTGGCACCTTAGTGCTTACCTCTAGTCCACTAAGCCTTTCATAATCTGCCCACTGCTCATCTCTGCAGCCCCAAGTACTCCTTGTTAATAGTCACCATGTATTAAGCCTGTCAAGAAGACTTGTTAAAACGGATTGCTGGGCCCCACCCCTGGAGTTGGTGATTCAGTAAATCTGGAGTGAGGTTGGAGAATTGGGATTTCTAAGTTCCCAGGTGATGCTGATACTGCTGATCTGGAAATCACACTGCGAGAACCACTGTATTAAGTATTTACTATGAGCGTGACACCGTGCTAAATGCTTTACACTCTTGAGCTCATTAATTTCTCTATTATTACTCCCATTTTACCGATGAGGAAACCGAGTCTTTGCTGACTGAAGACTGAACCAAGATCAGCAAATGGTGCGGGGGAGATCTGAATCCAGGCCTTTTGCTCTTCAAAGCCTGTTCTCTTCCACTGGCACTTAATCGTGGGTGGTACACACAAGGAGCCCAAGAGCTGTTTCTGAGAACGACTGATGGGCAAATGAGCTCTAGCATCCCAAGGAAATGAAGAAAAAGGAACATGGGGATAAGGAACATGGCGATAATGTACCCAAAACACAGTGTAAGGTTCTATGATTCCAGTTGTATTGCAGGGAGGCCAACATATTGACCTACACCCTACAACAGTGCCCTTTAAACTGCTGGTCTCAGCCCAATAGTAGGTTTTGAAATCTATTTATTAGTGAATCCCAATGGACATATTTTCAATTAAATGAAGTGGAACATAGAGGTATTGTTTTTTGAAACATTTGTTTTGGGTATATATGTGCATTCTGCTTCCTGGTGTATTTCTTAAAGTGGGTAGGAGTCAAAAAAAGTTCGAGAGCCATTTTAATCTAGAGGAATCCATTCCCATTCCAAACTAGATTAGTTTTGACCTTATGTGACACAGATCTGTTCTGTAACCTTAGGAAGGTCCTATCCCGTGACCCTTTCCTATTCTGTAAAACCCGCAGTGCTGGAATTCCTGGCCAGCATCTGAAGAGACTTATACAGATTAACTAAATTCCAGAGGCAGAACCTTTGAGCGCTTTAGAGAAAAGTGCTCCCGAATATACTGATGCGGAGCTCAGAGAGAGAGGCGGATGATAATGTGGCTGATGGTAGCGGTAACCATACCTTAGCTAACATCCGTTGCCACTCTCAGTAGAAGGTGCCACTCTGCAAGTTCTACTTTAAATCCTCACCAACCACACTGTGAGGGAGATACTCACACAGCAATTGGATGATACACTGCATTGGTGAGGATGTGGGGCAACAGGCTGGTAGGCGGGTAAATTGGCATCACTTTCTCAGAAGGCTGTTTGGCAATATCTAATCAGCCTTTCACACCCCCGTTGGCCCTTCAATTCTAGTTCTAAGACTGTATCTTACAGATACACTCACATCTCATTACGAAGGAGCCAGCTCTGGTGGTCTAGTGGTTAAGATTCACTGCTCTCACTGCCTCGCCCAAGTTCATTTCCAGGTCAGGGAACCACATCACTCATCTGCTGGTAGTCATACTGTGGCGACTGCGTGTTGCTGGGATGCTGAAAGCTATGCCACCAGTATTTCAAATACCAGCAGGGTCACCCATGGTGGACGGGTTTCAGGGGACTCCTCCAGACTAAGACAAACTAGGAAGAAGAACCTGGCCACCCACTTCCAAAAAAATTGGCCTTGAAAACCCCATGAACAGCATGTCTGATATAGCACCGGAAGATGAAAGGATGGTACAAAAAGACTGGGCAGGGTTCCACTCTGCTGTCCACAGTGTCGCTAGGAGTCAGAATCTATTCATGACAGTACTAACAACAACAATCACAAAGAATATGTGTATAAGAATATTCATTGTAGCGCTGTTCATAGTAGACAAAATCTATATGCACCTATCAAAATGGCTGAAATAAAAACAACTGACAATGACAATGCAGAATGCATGCTGAGTATGCATATATTGCTGGTGGAAAAATAAGGTGGTATGGTCACTTTGGAAATCAGTTTGGCAACTGCTTATTAAGTCAAGCATACACCTACCATACAAGCCAGTAATCCCACTCCTAGGCAGTTACCCAAGATAAATAAAAACTTATATCCACACAAAAGCTAGTATGCAATAATAGCAGATCTAGTCATAATGGCCCCAACTGAAAATGACTCAATACCTTCCAACTGGTGAATGGATGTGAACTAGCTGTGGTATATCTGTACCATGGGATATCACGCAGTAATAAAAAGGAACCAACCACTGATACACGTGACAATACGGATGAATCTCAAATGCATTGTGCTTGGTGAAAGAAACAAGATTCAAAAGGCTACATCCTATATGATCCCATTTATGTGACATTCTGGAAAAGGCAAACAAATGTCCAAAGACATTGGGAACAGGGACAGAAAGCAGATCGCTTGCCAGGGGATGGGGGCACATGAAGGGGACTGTCTATAAAGATGCTTCGGGAGATTTCTGGAGTGACAGCACCCTTCTACATCTAGGTCGTGACTACACGATTGTATACATTTACCAAAATCCATACAGCTGTACACTCAGAAGGGAGAATTTTACTGCATGTATACCTCAATCAACGTGACTATTAAAAAATTCCTGGAAATAGCAATATCATCAATAGGGATACTGGTTAAGTAAATTAGGGTACAGCCATAAATGAAATATTATGCTGTCATTCCAAAAAAGAGGGAGTCTTAAACATACACATTTGTAATTATCATGAAAATGCATAGATTGAAATTTTTATTTTTTTTTTTAAGATTTTTTATTTATTTATTTTTCCCCCAAAGCCCCAGTACATAGTTGTCTGTCATAGCTGCACATCCTTCTAGTTGCTGTATGTGGGATGCGGCCTCAGCATGGCTGGAGGAGTGGTGCCTCGGTGCGCACCCGGGATCCAAACCCGGGCCGCCGGCAGCGGAGAGCACGCACTTAACCGCTAAGCCACGGGGCCGGCCCTTATAGATTGAAATTTTTAAAAGCATGGTCCGGTAGACAGTGTAGTATGTCACCAATGGTTTAAAGAAAGGCGATATACTCAGTATTTGTTTGCCTATACATACCTCTGAAAAGATGTACAAGAAAGTCCAAACGAAAATTGCCCTGGGTGACCCAGTGTCAATGGTCAGACTTATTTTTTAATCCGTAGACTAATTTTGATTTAAATGTTTAATTATGGGCATGCATTACTGTGCACAACCAGCTGTGTGCAGGTGCCACCTGATAGCACTTCCTCTTGACTGCGCTGAGTACCTTGACATGCTCAATTCTTCAAATGTGAGAGAATTAACACCTCCTTTAACCAATGGGAGCCAGTGGATAATCCGTGTCTCAGGTGGACATTTCTGAGACATATTCTACATAGTTCTTTAGAGGGTCTCCAGTGGGATTGAGCCCTAGTTGCAGAGAGTGGTAATAATTCACCATTGTACTAGTTTTACCTCCTCTCCAATTTCACACAGCTCCCCTGCTCCAGGTTCTCAGAATTCTTCCCAAATAAACTACTTGCAAATAAGTCCTTGTCTCAGATTCTGCTTTTTAGGTTAAGCCAAGCTAGGACAATTACCTCTATCTATCTATATCTATCTATCTATCTAATGAACTTTCATGGTGTGTCAGCTCTATGTCAGACATGTTGGGGTGGGGGCTGTTTTTAAGTAAATACAGAGTCTTTGCATGATTCCTCATTACTGCAATTATGAGTTTCAGCTTCTTTTTTTTTTTTAAAGATTTTATTTATTTTATTTTTCCCCCCAAAGCCCCAGTGGATAGTTGTATGTCGTAGCTGCACATCCTTCTAGTTGCTGTATGCGGGACTCGGCCTCAGGATGAACGGAGAAGTGGTGCCTCGATGCGCACCCGGGATCCGAACCCGGGCCACCAGCATCGCAGCGCGCGCACTTAACCACCAAGCCACAGGGCCGGCCCAGTTTCAGCTTCTTAACACAGGCTCATTGCAACTGATCATCTCAAGTGGAATAAATGGCCGTTCACGGACTGTGAATTCTTGAGCTCACGGTACGACAAAATGGGAATTTTATTGTTGCGTCTCACTTTTTGTTCTATTGTATGCAATATTGTAAGTTGATGGAGATATATGTAACTGGTGTGTACAGAGAGCATTCCAAGAGAGGAGAAAGGGTACATACAGAAGGGACCTGAACTGCCTTCTCAAACCACAGAGGCTTGTTTGATGTTTCAATAACCTAGTTTCAGGGGTTGGCACATGGGACCGCTGCCTGTTTCTGTAAATAAAGTCTTATTAGAACACAGCCATGCCCATTGTCGAATGCATGGTCTGTGGCTGCTTCCATGCCACAAGAGCCAAGTAGTTGCAATAGAGACCACACGGCCCACAACCTTAAAATATTTAACCTGGTCCCTTAAGAAAAAGTTTGCCAACTCCTGAATTCTTGTTCTATAATTTTTCTGGGCAAGGGTCTGTTATTAACAGACAACCATTATTACTTTCTGAGCAATAGCCAGTAATAATAAACACAGCCACTAACATTTAAGAAGCCCTTATTGTGTGTGTTAATTCTTGTCATTCCCCAAAACAAGTGGGAGGCAGGTATTATCATTCCCCTTTTGCAAAGAAACTGACGTTTGGAGGTAAGTAACTTCTGAGTAAATGGCAGACTCAGGACTGGACCCCAAGTCCACTGACCACTCCTCAGCTATTTTTAGTCATCGTGAAATGAGAGGCACTCTCCCCTCTTTCCTTCCCTTCTCCCCTCCCTATCTTGC